ATATATATATATATATATATACATACATACATATATATATATATATATACATATGAGAAAATCATTTAATTTAAATTAAACTAAGGAAACTTAATGGCAATAAAAAAAAGTAAAACTATAAAAATTTTATATGTTTTTTTAAGATATTTACAGACTAATTTTTGATAAACTCAGTTAAAGTATGAAAATCAAATATACTATTTTTGGTGAAGGTGTAAAATAAAAACACTCATGTAAGAATGTGGACAAAGAACACAGTTTTATTTTATCCCCCCCCCACCCCGTAAAACATTGGTCTGACCGCCCAGCCCCAGTCCAGCTATGCTACAGAAAGATAATTTTTTTTAAGATTCCTTTACCACAAGATGGATCTATGAAGTATTTTACTGGTTTCAGTAATCAAATCTCAAAACTACTGGCTTGAATCCAATTTTCTTATAATTTGCATTTCACAAATCAATTGTTTTTTTATCTGAAACGCATAGGCTTAAAACTTAAAACATTACCCATTAAAACCTAAACTGATAAATATGGGTTGACAAGTGACAAATTTTGTTGACATCCTCTGTCTGAAATTATGGATGAAAATTCACTTAAATAATAGAGTTATTGTGGATGTCCTAACGTGGAGTGTTTGAAGTCAAGAAATACAGTCTTACAGTTTTCAAATGATAAAAATACGTATTCTTGTATTTTTTGCAATTATCAAAAAAATATCAAAGAGGCCTCATACAGTAAAGAATGACTAAAGGAGAAGAGAAGGGTGGAATTCTAAAAGTCTGTAATAATAAGTTTGTTGGATCACAAGAAATATTATTACTGTACTGACTGGACTTAATTTAGGAAACAAAGGTGAAAATGCCTTAAAAAAGAAATAACTTTACTGAAATGCACCCACTAGTATTCTCCGGTTAGATTTTTCAAAATCCTAAATATTCTTTTACTACTTATTCGATCTCAAAAGTTGACACTCAAGCTTTTTCTCACTAATAGGAAACCCGTAAATACAAAACTAAGCTTCTTTATGGTAGCACAAAGAATACAAACACAGCTACTGGGCATTATATTGAAAGTTACCTTGGTACACAGATCAAAGAAAGTTTAACTTGAAGTGTATAAAATGATTTTACTGTATTTCTAGTTAAAGAGGTATATTTGATTTCAAACAATATATTACAAGCAAAACTTCAGATATTTAGATATCTATGTATTAAATTATACACTTGCTTTAAATATCTTTAACTAATACATACAGACTACTAATTACTTTTGTATGTACCTTCTAATGCAAAGGGACTATACAAAGTGATTAGTACTGTACATATGTGACACAAAGAATCTGAGAAATGGCACGATTCTATGACGATGAGATCACTCTTACAACTAAAAAAAAAACAAACTTCAAGCCAAAGCTTCTAGAGAAATGGAATTATAAAGTCCACTACAAAACTTTATGATTTAAAATACATTTTCTCCTTTTAACAACTGATGCCGTACAATGCCTTACTTAGGCACTTCCATTCTTCATATTTCAAAGGTGAAAGGGATAAATATGAGAATTATGATTTCAATAGCAGAGATGAAGAAAATTTTTAAGACTAATTATAAATGTTTAAATTAATTATTCTGACTACTTCTCTAAAACTTCAACAATATACAAAGAAGGTCTGAAATTCAGAGAGTTACAAATAAGAAATGATCATCTTGTTTTCTTTGTTGGCTTGCTGAAAGGCATCTTCCTACGAAGCTCTTCATTCTCATCTGCATCATCCTGGTAATATGACCCTTCTTTCATGGACTTGTACGAAAGGCCCATCCAGACTAAAGTCATGGCTTTAAAAATGTCAGATAAATGACAATATTAGAAATCAATCTGAGTCTCAACTTTGAAAAATATTCTAAAATTGTAAAACTTAATTCAGCATGAAAACTTAAACTTACACACACTACTTCTTTTTGATCAAAGGTGCTACTATAAAACAATTTTTATACCATCTCCTTACTGAAAACCCACACAACAAGCTGCTTAAGGAAATATCCATTTTTACTGTCATCACATTAGCTACTTACAATGGACCATGTATGATGGGTTTAACAATATGTATACTTTTTGAGTTGCATATAATTTTTCTCTTCTACAAAACAGTCCATGCTGGACTTCTGTCTCTTAAAATGTTCAGTTTTGTACTTTTTCAATACCATTCTTATTAAAAGGTAAATGTTAATTTAGATAATACAGGTGCAGTATGCCTTCAAGAACTATACCCCTGATGGCTCGGAGGTAAGTCTGAGGGATTAAAATGCTAAAACTTGAGTTTCAATACTTGAATAGAAACAGAACAAATAACTCATGGATGAGCCAAAACACTTAACATCAAATCAGTGAGTTCAAATCAAAATGGGCATAAATTAAGATCTTGAAATTGCTTACTAGAATGGTATAGTATATTCCCAACAAATTACAAAAAAAAAAATATTTTTTAAGACCAAACAAACACTGAATTATTCCTCTACACATGTGAATTCTCAAAATTTTGTTTAAAGACTATAAACAACTTATTTTGGAACAACAAGCAGACATTACCTATTAATGCAGTATTTCTGGAAAGATTAAACATAACAAAATTATCAAGAACAGTACGTGTCTTCTGTACATTATCCATACCAAGTATATCACTAAAAACAGTATAGAATATTGGTGCTACTATAGCATGTGGTCTAAAAAATATTTACACTATAGCGAGATACTATCATTATAACCGTTTTAACTTTTATTTATTTGCAATTGATGCCAGTTACTATAAATAATGCTTTTAAACTAATAAAGTACAAAATACCATATATAATCAGAGTATATAATCAGAGTAAGATCCAACAATCAAAACTAGTGTAATTATAACCTAAATTTAAGGTACTCTTTTGGAACACACAACTTATTAAATTATTATTATTTGCTAAACAAAATCGTGGATAGATATAAATCTTTTAGCAAGAAATTATGTTTTAGTGAATCATTAAAATGGTGATGATCATAGTATCTGTGTAGACCACACGCTATAGAGTAAATATCTTTGTAGACCACAGACTATAATAGCACCAAAAATACTTAACTCCCAAATATATATTTAATAAAAATATGTATCTTTTAATTGAATTGAAGCAATTGATAAATTACCTAAGAGTGAAATCATTATGTACTGACTTTCCAACTGATCCACTTCATTGGGATAAGCAGTTGATGAAATACTCAAAACTGAACACATTACTAACTGTACTCACAATAGGTCCAAATATCTTAAGACTTGTTTATGAAGTCCATGATAACTTAGAGTCTCAGGTACAAACATTGTTGATTAAGTGTAAGTGTCTTTCTCTCCCTCTCTATGTACCATATCTAAACAGGACGTTGGTGACCATGATCTACCACAGATCTCTTCTCCTTTAGGCACAAAAACTTTCCAATGTCGATACATTCATCTATTTAGATAGACTCTTGACATAAGTCAACCTCTGTCTTTCACGGTCACTACTTTCTTCAATCTTTCCAATTACAATCTGACTTTCAATTTCTTCTTTCCTAATAACATGTCTGAAAAACTCCAATTGTCTCTTTCTGATGTTAGTCATCAGCTTCTGCAACCTGCTCTTGATAAGATATCTTTATTTGAGGTGCAACTTGTCCAACATACCTTCAATATGTGCCTTAAGATCCACAACTCAATTGCTTCAATTCTCGTTTTCATACTTGGCGATATTGTTCAACTTTCTGATGCATATGTGAGAATTGGTACAACATAGCAATCTAAAACTCTTAACTTCATTCCCATAGAAATTTACCACTTGTTAGTATCTTTTTCATTTTCAGAAATGAATCTTTTGCCATCCCTATTCTGTGTTATATTTCATGATCACATTTACCATCTGATGTTAGTTATTCAGCTTCCCAGGTAGTTGAATTACTAAGACTCTTAAACTAAAATTTATTGTTAAATATAAGCAAGGAACTAGTGTGACTTTTACTGAATAAATCCTAAAATCAGTTATCATTGTAAATTTAAAACTATACTGTTAACAGTAGCAGATAAAACTAGAAGTGATTAATAATGTACCATATGTATAGTTGACATTAATCATCTTCACTAAGTAACCTTGAGGCTTATAAATATTGGTCTGAGGTATCATTACAGTTTACTTTCTATCAAGGGCAGAGACACTATTTAGGTAAGGTAGGGGGGGGGGACAATAGACCCCCATGCATAATATAACCTATTATGTGAATAATACACATACACACACATATATATATTTATAAGAAATAATCAAAACAAATGCTCCCAAAATAGACTGATTTTTACATTTTATCCTTTATGAAACCTAGATTGTACAGGGGACTAATTCCCCTACACTTGCAATAAAAGTTGCCGTCCATGTCCATTGAAATCCAAAATAGCACTGTTTACAAAGGACGTCAGCTCATTGATGATTACCTGCAAAAGATGATACTGTTGTGTTCCACTCCACCTAATTCATTTCTCAAGTACATTTTAAATTTGAGTCCTTAGGCAAGATTATAACTGCAAAAGTTATCTTGCCTGTTAGTAGTTTCCTTTACATGTTGATTAGTACTCAAAAGAAAATTACATTATGATAGTGAAGACAGTTATTAAATAAAATCACCTTAATTTTTTAGTTTTACCAGTCATCTAGTTTAAAATAATAAATGTTAGTTTCTAATAAAGTAGCAAGGTGTATTTAGAAACTTACTAGTAGCTTCATCCTACTTGGTGATTATTCTGTATAAAAAAAAAGGTTAGTCTATGATTACAACTTCATGACATGATGGAAACTTTCTTGTGCCCTCGTGTGTGTGTGTGTGTGTTACAAAACTTATGTAGAGTTAGTTTTCTAAAGAGGTTCATTTATACGAACTGATGAACGTTTTTGAACATTGAATGGTAAGAGTAATACCATACATTTCTGAAACACTGATAAAAAAAACAAACATCCAAAGTTTTTGCTAAATATCTAAAGAATTAAATGGACAGCCTGAGCTTTGTAATAACAGGTGCAAAAATACTTTATCAAGCCGCATACTATAAACAAAGTCCTCTTAATGGTTCCAAAATCAAGTCTTTGTATAATAAGAACTTTGGAGATATCTGTGCAGATATCTTTAGTTGTTTCAAAAGCTTTTGGTAAAATGTTAATGTTTATATCTTTGATAAAACTAACAGATGTTGTATGGAAGTCACGATGAGAGAGTTGTCTACTCTGAGGTTTGCCTCTAGTGAGTATGTCAGTGTCAGGTTTTGTAAGACCAAATTCTTTACAGTAGGTATCTGTGACTTGTTGGCAATAAATTTCAGCAATAAAAGGACAACACACAATCCAATTGTTTAAAAATATATATTCAAAACAAATCAAACATATGTACAAGAATTCATTACACTATTGGTTATCACAGTTGTACCCATCAATTTAAATAATTCTCTATTTTTCGTCAAAGTCCACACGTCCACACAGGCAGGTTCCAAGACAAATTATTTCTTCTCTTCTCTGTTATCACAATACAATCAGTGATAAATTCACTTTAGAAATCACCTGTTATGGTTAACAATCACACAGTCTAACTTCACTTTTTTTCACTCTGACTTTCATTAACTTACTTCTGTACCTGCATGAAACAAAAAAATCTAGCTCTCCAGTAACAACAATACTAAACATAATAAGAAAAACTTAGAAGCTTCGAGTAAGATGATGTCAACAATATTACAAAACCTAGTACAATAATTAAACTGCATACACAAGGTACAACTCATACAGAGTTATATAACAAAAATTGTCATAACTATTACTTTTAAAATAATTAACTTTTAACACTTATTTATGAAAACTAAATAATCATTAAATTTTAGATCACTAAGTAAACTAAATAATAACTCTCAAACTGAACAGTCTCGTATATCCAACAGTCAGTAGGTAAAACATCAGCCCGAGTCCATTGGTCCTTGTGATTTGAGTCAAGTTTCTTTATATTCTGATGCATTATACCCAGGATAAAGTTCCAGGACATTGAAGAGTTACACTTCCCAAGATGGATTTTAATTTGGACAGAAAAACTAGTAACTGAATTAATTTGTGTTTTTGTAATAGAATCTTTTGTATGCCTAATTTAGAGTCCTTACCACTGACAGTAACTGGATACAGTCCAGCTCCTGATATAGATATGCTTTTATACAGGAATGTTTCTATCATGAAGTAAAAAAGGTACACCACCACCATTAGACCACTCAGGGACATTACTCTGTAAAACAAAATCATTCAATGAAACTTACCCAATGTATTGTTATTTTCTCAATGAAATTTACCAAAACCATTGTTATTTACTCAATGAAATTTACCTTTGTTATTTACTAAAAAACTATCTATCTCAATGCTACTTACTTAATGAAATTTATCACATGTTATTACCTCAATAAAACTTACTAAACACATTACTGTTTTCTCAATGATAGTTACCAAATAAATAACTCAAATATGGACTGACAAGGAGTTATTTATGCATTTAAATAAGGTAAGGTTATGCTATGAATAACTGATGTTTGTAACTTGGCTCTCAACATTAAAAAATCTGGCTAAATCAGCCATAATTATCTTCATCATACAGATAAAGTGATTTGATGATACAAATTTTCCTCTATTTGCTCATATAAAAAACAAAAAAATTAGACATATATTTAAAACTGTTTAAATCATATTTCTACTTATTATTTCCACAAGAACCAAGAGTGATGAAATCGTTGAATGATAAAGGCTTAGCACATAGTGAAAAAAAAAAAGTCATAATTATTACAACTTGTTGTAATATTTTTATATTTACACAATTTAATCTTAAAAATAAATGCAAAATTTTAATTCATTTATGTTTGAATAATAAAACAGTGAAACAGACTACTTTTCAAAACTTCTAATGACTAACTGAAAATTGTTTTGGCAATTGACCTTCATGCTTATGATAGCAATGAACTTGATGGTAGAGCAATGAAAAAGTATAGATCAGTTTTTACTTAAGCTTATAAGTTCTTGACTCATCTAAAGCCAACAAAAAATATGTTTTTTCTCCCAACCCACCCTTTGTTTAGTTTCTGTGCCTTATATATATTTTTTCACCTTATGATAAATTTTATCACATAATCCATCAGCTTGGGAATACAAATGTGGCATACAGCAGTAAACAGCCTCCTTATCCAATACTTTTATGCCAAATATTAGGCTAAATAATGAAAGGTACACTTAAAAATAAGAATAAGTGTCTACTGCCTCCCCTAATTTTTCTAAAGCTTCATACTAATACAATTCCATGCTATGTTTATACTTAAGTGGTGTACATGGATTACTGATGTGCAAAAATAATAAAGGAAAAAAATATATTTAACACCTTTTCATCCACACTGACAGAAATCTTCTGATAATTTTTGCTATAAAAAAATAAAAATAGTGACTTTTTCCATTGTAACAGTCACTCACATGTAAGGCTGACCGTCCCAACAAACTTGTCCCATCTTCATACTATTTCATTTCAATAATCCAGCTTGGGTATCTTTGGTGTTTTGTCAGAATTGACTTGATAAATCCATTAGCAATGAACATGTAGTAGGTTATAGCATCATAAAGCAAAATGTAGTGTTTTATTTGCAATATGGCATATGGTCTCATGTTTACATATACTCAAATCAGTTGAACATTAAAACAGAAATACAGTTCTTCATATATCATCAGCATCAACAAACTTAGATGTTCACAATAAATGATTGGCAAAAATCATACAATTAAATTCACTAACTAATAAAAACATAGTGCTCATCATGCCAGTCATATCTACAGTAAGATAACTTAAGTATTTGTCATATAGTAAAGTGTTATAGATTCAACAGAAGACTTGACTACTACATAAATTAATAACTGGTTAAATAATTTGTGATGTTATATGATGTTATAAGCAAGACTCACATAGCTGTATATGCACAGGGCCAGTATTTGAAAAGGAATGATTATAATTATGAATTTACTATATGTACCTACACAAAATGTGGCTAGCTTTTAGTAAAAAGTGCAAGACTGTTGTACACAAAAACCAGATGTGTTACAAATGTATTTGTACTCAAAATATGTTTGTGAATTAATGTCAATCTGACTCAGACTCTGCTCATGTCAAGAATGAAAATACTTTTCTCCATTGTAGAGTCTGTATATTGCATTTGCATAACCTAATTTATTTTTAGCATAAAATTAATGGGTATATAAAAAAACCAAAACATCCAACAACTTGCATGCATTTCAGCCTATTATATAAGACAGAATTACTCTCGATGTAATTGTACAATTTATTCAACACACAAAATTACTCAATTATCAGGCACATTTTGAATATATTAATCTTCCTTCAGTACATTACTTATTTGCGAAAACATCCACAAATAACAGAAGAAAATCCTACACCACCATTCTTAATTCAGAGAGTTTGTATTAAGTCGAATGTGACCTTAACTTACTTTCAACTTATACATAATGTGCCATTTTTAGTGTCACATACAATTGAAATTATTTTATTACAATTTTTGTTTTTTTTTCAAAAGAAAAAACACTGATTAATGACATAAATAAAAGAATGTGCCTGTTGAGAGTTAGAACTTACTACAACTAGGTAGTAATACATCTCACTTCACAGCTATAATGTAGGTGGTTAGGGTGAGACTTAATGACTTGGAAGCCAGTTGGCTAAAAGTGCTGTATATAAGTACTTGATGTGGCTTTAACTACCTCCATACGCTTTTTTCTTTCTTTTAGATGTCACTAAAACTACAAAATAGGCCATCATTTAAGTTTGAGACACACATATGATGCAGTATAAATGTTTTGAAATTACAATTTGAATTGTTAAGCCAGTTCTAGATGCCCAGGGTACTTTAATACATTTTAACATTGACCCTACTGTGTTTGAATATACACATTTTATACCACTGTCCCTATATCAAAAATGTTTAATGAATTGGCTTAAGAAATATAATTTTTTTGCACTAATCAAGAATTTTGTATAAAATAAATTCAGAAAACCACAGAAACTTAAAATTTAGATATTAGAAGACTTGTGAATACATACAAAATACTTACGGGAGATTGTGAATAAAAACTGCAGCATACAAGAAAATGATTGCATTGGTGAGAGACCAAAATCCAAATATCCTGTCCATTTCAAAACCACCTGATTGATATAATATTCAGAAAGCACCATTATAAGTTCTTCAACAACAATAACAGAAACTGAATAATAGAACACAAGTCGTAGTTTATACCAACAATTACTGTTTTACATCTAAGGTACAACAAATTATTACTTCTTTTTTAAAGGAGACTTTGAGAAAATAAAAAAAACCTGTAAAAAAACATCTTTTGTTTTTACTGTATAAATCTTTTATTTAAGAAGTCATTCATATCAGCATAACATGGTTATTAGTGTCACTGTGCAAAATATAATGGTATTGCAATTTATCATGAGCTTATCTTTGTGGAGTAGGTGTAAAACTAAATGGTTAGCAGTTTGTTTTTTGTTTGTTTGAAGTTAAGCACAAAGATACACAATGGGCTAGCTGTAATATACCCACAACGGGTATCGAAACCCAGTTTCTAGCATTGTAAGTCTGCAGACATATCACTGTGCCACTGGGAGGTAACAGTTATCAGATTCATATGGTTTTATTAATGTTTTCTAAGTAAAGGAATCCTAAAATTGGTTTAAAAAAATAATATTAATTACATTAACAAAAAAAACAAATTTGTAATATTACTTATCATCAGTGAAAAATGTTTACTGCTTTAACTTCCAATTAGTTACTGTTAACAGTACTAGTACTAATTTTTTCATTCAAGTATAACTTCTATAAGAATTGATTAAACAGTGTCCAGTTTTGTTTCTTTGGAATTAAGCACAAAGCTACAAAATAGGCTATCTGTGCTCTGCCCACCACGGGAATCGAAACCCAGTTTCTAGCGTCGTTAGTCAGCAGACATGCCGCTGTGCCACTGGGGGACCAGTGTGTAGTTATGGAGTTATTAAATACATATGTATTTGATGAGACAAGGTGATTTTAATTTATTTATCTATTTATTTTGTATTTTACCACTCGATACAAACTATTACTATTATGTTTGTAACTTCACAAAATTTCTTTAGTTAATGTAGTCCTATACTACAGGCGACAGTAGAACAACTTACACAATTTACAGTGTACTAGTACTTATTAAAAGCAGTAATATAAACAGTACAAATTATCCAACTGAACACTTGTTTTACCTCCTTTCAGAGCAATATTAACTATGTACAGTTTAGCCTGAAGAAAGCTCTCATCAGTAAAACATCGAGATGCGGTTCCAAAGTGCATAAATGATAAAAATGCAAGCCATCCTCGAAGAGTATTTACCATCCAAGCGCCCATCTTTGATTTATTTACATTTCCTTAGAAATTTTCCCTATCGTTCTATTAAATAGAAAATTAAATTTTTAACATAAAACAGTTCTAGTTAATTTTATTAATTAAAAAAAAAACAGAATAAAACCCATAGAAATCGAACATAAAAAAACTAATTATATGCTATATCAAAAATTATAGTATTAACCCAAATACTCTAGCAATTGTTTGGTTTTATTGTATGCGAAAGTATTTCAAAGTTGATCCGTATGCTGCTTTTTTCTTTATACGAAAAATGGGCCCGGCATAGCCAGGTGGTTAGGGCGGTCGACTCGGAATCTGCGGGTCGCGGGTTCGAATCCCCGTCCCACCAAACATGCTCACCCTTTCAGCCGTGGGGACGTTATAAAGTGACGGTCAATTCCACTATTCGTTGGTAAAAGAGTAGCCCAATAGTTGGCGGTGGGTGGTGATGACTAGCTGCATTCCCTTCTAGTCTTACACTGCTAAATTAGGGACGGCTAGTGCAGATAGCCCTCGTGTAGCTTTGCGCGAAAATTCAAAAAACAAAACATCTACGAAAAAGTGCAAATGGTAATAAAATGTTTTTGAACATAATTATTCATTTCTCTTAATTGAGAAAGAAAGCTTTCCAAACTTCATAAAATACATTAGCAATTTAGTAATAAAATCAAGTTACTACAACTGATGATAATGTCAAAAAAGTAAATTTGCCACTGCTTTTGAACTGGGTTTACAGGTTGCCCCGTCCCCTGGTGGGACAGCAGTAAATTTATGAGCTTAAATGCTAAAATATGGGATTCAATTCTCCGTATTGATCTAAGCAGATAGCCCAGTGTGGCTTTAGTCTCAAAGAAGCCAACAAACAAACAGGCTAACCCAAACTCTAGCTAGTTTAATTTAGTTACTTTTAACATAATTATTTTTTAAGTTTTATATTTCTATCAGTTGAATTTCTTTAACCTTTACTTAAAACATTAGAACACATTTAATACTGTTACGACAGCGGAAGTAACGTGACGCTGGTAACAAGTAATGAGTATCTAGAAGGATCGGGAAACATCACCAATAATCCAGTATTTGCTACACGCCCTCTATTCCTGTATATAAGCAGAAAAATAAAGCGAGATAATTAATTGAATTGCAGACAGGCAGAGATAGAGACGGACATTTGAGTCAAGCGCGGTAGTGACCGTAAGTAAAGTGCGTGAATCGTTGTGAATTATAGCGTGTGTTTAAGTTAAAATGACTGTGAAAATTAAGTGTATTGCAAAGTTGTATTGAGAAAGAATAAACTAGTTTTATTTAAGAAAGAACTTGTATCACTGAAGTTCTTCAGAAAGAATTTCTATGGAAAATTAACAAACGAACACAGACGTAACAATATTAAGGTGATCTGAATTAACTCGAATGCTGTATATTGGGTATGTCCTCCAAAGAGGAGAACCGTTCAATATATAATATTCCAAAACGATGCGTCCCTAGTGGCATAGTGGTAAGTCTGTCGACTTATAACGCCAAGAACTGGGTTTCGATTCCCGTGGTTGGCATAGCATATAGCCCATTGTGTAGCTTTGTGCTTAACTACAAACAAAACGATGCTAAGCTTCTTACTGGATGAGTTTAAGCTAAGGAATAAACAGACTGGACACGATATATAATACACAATGAAAATAATCTTTATTTATTGGCAAAGACAAAAACACAATATGTCCACCCACTTCCCTTACGTTGGGTTTCTTAGGTTTCAAGAAATGTCGCATTTACCCAATACGACAGGCGATACGACGTGACTAATAATTTTCTTTACTCATATTGAGTCCGTAACCTCTAGATATTACCTATACAACCATCAAAGGACACTTCTGTCAATTTCTGGACACAAGGGCGCTATAAACAATTTTCTCCATAGGAAGTAACAGGTTTACCAGCTTCGAAAGTGAGAAGAAAAAAACTTGCAACAAGGTCAACTTAATGGTTTTCTTGACCATGTTTTATGTGAAAACTTGCACATATTCATCACAAAGAATAAAATAAGATAAATAATAAACCTACAAAATGAAATAAATCTATGATATATTCCTATACCACATTTTTCCCGTCTTCCCTAGCCTCGACTCAAGCCGATAATTAACTCTCACTTTAAATCCCACAAGCTTTAAACTTGCACTGTTCAAGAATTGCATTAACTTTTGTGGCTTCAAAACACTTACACATCCCGCAGATGTCAATGAATGTAATGCACTAATACCAACTGTTTTCAATTAAAATTACCTGATTGTTCAATAATTTTGCTTGGGCTAGAGACAACATAAACTAGAGAAACCCTTTACCTTTTTAAATTAAATATTATATGTAATGGAAACAAAGTCATATATATTAATCAACGCAAAGTATTTGAAATTCATTAAAAAACAACTTTTACTGACCAAAATATATTAAGATACACAAATAACCCTTCGACATAAATACCTTTTAACAATGATAATCAAACTAAATCAAAATTCACCAAAACTTAGCCCTCGAAAGTATATACTTACACAAAACATTATGTCAAGATACTGTCAGGATCAAAATAAAAAAACAATAAAATATCAGGCCCATAGGCCCAATAAGCACGCTAATGCTACGAAGGTCTGGAGCATTCTCCCAAAAACATTTTAAAAAGTAGGTGTTATATGAGATTAAACAATTGCCTGGTTATTCACATAAAATCCACAGACATCCAACAAAAAGTTAACAAATAGTCATTCTTTTGTAATACGACATGGGGAGCTAGACTTAAATTAACATAAATATGTACGTTTTATTATAGTAAAGTACTGTACTACCTACATGAAGAGTAGTTATTAAGTGTTAAATTATATTACTAACTTAAACAACTCTGTACAACAATAGTGTATTAGTTGTTTCAATCATTGGCTATCATATACTGAAATAATATATTAGCATGCTCCATTCTTCTGGGGTGCCTTTTCATAAATAACTTACATACAGTTTCAATGTTGATAGCAGTGTTATAATGATTATGTATTAAAGCTAGAGCACTCAGTCTTTCTTCGGTCTGTGTATACCTCAAGTAATTATTCAACTGGCAGAGAGCAGGTGCCAAACGTTCACACGAACATGGACTTATTGGAAGTGTGGCAAAGAGTTTCAGTAACATAAAGATATTTGGTACACTGAAGCACGCTTTTAATCAGTCAGCCAGTATCTGGGGCCTGTCCTGTAGAGGTATAGAAAGCCATCTTGTCTTCCATCGATGAAGGTCTTCATCAAAAATATCAAAATTTGGTAAATATCCCCTGTAAAAATCTGTAGTCTGCCTGATCTCAGAGATAGAAAACTCTTCTGTGAGTTTTGATGGCATAAGTTTCTAAATTGATGCTGATTGCTTTACATATGCAACAAATCAGGAGGAAAGATTACTGATAATGTGGTCAAGAAAAAGAATGGTTACTGTTTTTTTAAAATAATCCTCCACGGAACTATATTCTGCATTTGCACATTGGGCTTGTCGTTGACTAACTCGTGGCATGCTAACATTAATATTTGATTGGTATGCAGTATTACTGTTGTGCTTGAAGATACGACATGATTAATCATATACGTTCACTCTTAATGAAAGCAGTTATTTATAGCATTGCTCTATTAGGGAAACATCAGAAACAATGTCTTGATCTTGACCTAGCAGATTTATAGAAGCTTCTTACAAATAGTAAATGGAACGCTGTAAAGCTGTTGAACAAAACATTATTGCAAAGGATTTCAGCATTTTTAGATAAGCCATAGCATTTTTCTTATCTTCAGCAACCCAATTGTCATTAAACATTTCAAAATTATCATCTTCATATACAATAACCTCACAAGAAGTAAGAATGCATTACATTAACAGAACCTTTCCCAATCTTCAATATTATCAACCCAACGTGTAATGTACACATTGAATAGTGAAAGACGTGATGAAACTGCTCCATGCTGGATGCCGATAGATTGCCTTTAATAGTTTCCCAAACTAGTTATTCCTTTAACTTTATCGATACAATTTCATATTGGTGGAACTAAACATGAATCTATAATAGCAAGATAAAGTGAGTGACCCGCGCAATAAGTGTAGAAGGCCTTGCTTTGCATATCTGAAATTTGTTTTTGTTCACCAGATCTTTTGCCAGCCATGGTAGATGCTCCATCATATCCTCCACCACACAATTCATTAAGAGATAATCCAACATCAGTCAATATCTTTGTAATCACACATACAATATCTGTTGCTCTGACCCTCTATAGCTTAACAAAGCCAATAAATTCTTCCATATTTTCACAGTTGTCATCTACCAAGCAGAGACATGTTGGAAAATGTTCCACATTGTGAGAAAACACTTCATTAGCAAGAACAGAATAGAATCCAGCCTTTTTTACTGCTCAATAGTTTTACTCGAATTACATCATATCCTATGACATTGACGATGTAATTTGGTGAGGGAGGATATAAATATGTAGCATTTTTTGCCTTGAGATGATATGAGCTCTGAGTATTTCATCATTTTCAGCATAATGTTTCAGGAAGGCCAGAAAATTGTCTGGATTTTTGGAAGAATTTACATTGTCGGTATCGCCACGAAATGCCAAGCCTTGTTTTCCTAAAAACAAAATGGCACAAACAATGAAACACTACAAGAAGGGTAGCACAAGGACCACAAAAAATGCCATCCAATTTTGAGCTGTATAATATTTTAAACTTGTGGTTACATCCATCAGAAAAGATGCTAGAAAGAACTTTTGGTGATGCCTATAACATGCTTATAAAGATAGGGATATTTTACAGCATTTTATAAATTATTAATAGTTTAGCATTTTTCATCAAGTGATTTTGTTGGTGTCAGTAAATTGCCGATTTCACTGCATGGCTCAGTGACTACAGAAATACCATGACAGATCTCTGATGAATCCGTACTTGCTATAGTGCGATTATGGTGGTGCAGAAAGAATGGATTTTTGAATGTTTG